TCCTCCAGTCCACGTTAAGAATTGGCACCTTTGGGAAGCAAAGGGGGGCAGGAGGGGAGTGGGTACCCAATATTTGGCAGGTGTCCACTCTCACCGCCATGGCGATCGAAAGTGGAAGTTCTCCTCCCCCCCCACCTCCCCTCCATCTTCTGGGACACACTGATTGCGCATGTGCAGTGGGCGCCCGGCTGTGAAGTTGCAAGTTGTAACAGCCAGGTTAAAACGGTAGTAAAGCCTTGAGAGCAAAATAAAATAAATGGTCCCCCACCAGCTTTATGTCATAATGTACTAGTATGCACTGCATGTCAGTACATTATGATAGACCTACAAACGAGGCCTTCCAGCCATGCACTGTTAGGGCTCTCCCCGGTCTCCAGCGCTTCCATCTTTACCTGGTTTTCCTTCCGGGTTTTGAGTTTTCGTCCACTTGATTGGTTGAGCTGAGGTGAGGTGACGTCACTCCGACACACGAACCAGGCCTTAAATGTAGTCTCAGCTGTGCATGTGCAGCTCAGATCACATTACCCACTGACAGGGGAGACATTTATGACAGAAGAGTCCTCCAGGGTCTCTTCAGTTATAAAAAAGCCTGCCGGTTAGTGGATTTTGAAATGAATAACTTTACTATCACTTTTAAAATGCTGGCGCAGGGGACAGAGGACGGCCGGTGAACCCGGCTGGGGTGAGCACACCGCTGGATGGAGGGACAGGTGAGTGTCCGCTTTTGAAGTTAGCAGTTTAAGTTTTTGTAGCTGCTGACTTCTATTTTTTCACAGACTAGAGCTCCACTTTAACCACTGGGCACTTATACCCCCTTCCTGCCCAGGCCAATTTTCAGATTTCAGTGCTGTCGCACTTTGAATGACAATTGCGCAATCATGCGACACTGTACACATTTTTATCTCTTTTTTTTTTTCACACAAATAGAGCTTTCTTTTGGTGGTATTTAATCACTGCTGGGTGCTTTTTTTTTTGCACTATAAACAAAAAAGAGCAAAAAATGTGAAAAAAAAGTTTTTCTTTGTTTCTGTTATAAAATTTTGCAAACAGGTAATTTTTCTCCTTCACTGATGTGCGTTGATGAGGCTGCACTGATAGTCAGCACTGATGGGCACTGACAGGCAGCACTGATAGGTGGCACTGATGATCTGACACTGATGATGCTGCACTAATAGGCGGCACTGCTGGGCACAGGTGGGTGGCATTGCTGGGCGGCATTGCTGGGCACAGGAGGGTAGCACTAATAGGTACAAGTGGGTGGCACTGCTGGGCACTGATCATCAGTGCCGATCACTTCTCTGACAATTACCGGTTATCGGCAGTACTTTCCTCATGCTGACAGCGTGAGGAACGTGCAGCCGATAACCGGCAACTGCATTTACCGGTGATCTATTGTGTCATGGGACACAGCTGATCACGTGGTAAAAGGCCGCCGTGATTGGCCGTTTACCGTATCCCATGATCAGCTGTCTGTAGGACACAGCAATCACCGCCGGCGCCGGGTGCTCGCCACAGGGGGGCGCGTTCTGGAATTACGTCCATGGACGTCGTCCCAGAACCAGACAATCGCACTGTAGCCGTCCTTCGGCTATAGCACAGTAGGGAACTGGTTAAGGTACAGCTAAAGGCAAACTTTTTTTTTTTTTGTTTTGAATAGAGTGGAGAGGGACTAGACCAGCGGTTCTCAACCTATGGGTCGCGACCCTTTCAAAGGGGTCGCTTAAGACCATCGGAAAACACATACTTCCCATGGTCTTAGGAACCGAGACACGGCTCCTCTATCCGTCTCCAAGCGGGTCTGCTCACATGCAGATACGCCCACTTACAAGAGAACAGTCAACAGTGATGACACCTGACCCCTCTGCCCCAGCCTATCATCTCCCACAACATCCACGGATCCAAGATGGCAGCGGTGTGGAGTTGAGAGCGGGCCGTGTGTGAAGAGAGCTGGCTGTTCTGTGTGGTGGGGATGGGGGAGGTGTGACGCCTTGTATGGCGGGAATGAGAAGGGGAAGGGGGAGCTCCTGGCTGCTGCCATTGTTGATGTGGGATAGTCAGTGTAGATACCTGCAGATGTCTCCTCTGTACACTGATATGGAGGATGAGGGGGTTCTGTTGTGTGATGACCCCATAGAGATGTCACTCAGGGCTGATACTCAGCACTCCTCCTCCTGCGTGTAGCTGGGGGTTTCCAGTGCTAGTTCAGTCCCAGGGAAGGTCTCAGTGGGTGTGTTGGGAATACCTGTCCTGTGTGTACGAAGGTCTCATTTATAGGGGGGGTTCCTCAGTGTACCCCTGTGTGAGGGCCATGTCTGCCTGCATAGGGGGCTACTGGAGTTCCATGCATCCCGGTGCAGGCTGTCCGTTGTACAGCCACTGCTCCCAATATGACATCCATGCGGGTGTACACCCCAATCAATGACAGTGTGCCTTCAGGGCCCTACACTGATGGCAGCTGTGTCTGTGCCAACACTGCGTCCCAATGGACATGACTGGGTCAGCCCTCACATTGGGTGTATGCTGTAACATGAACATGGTCAAATCGATAAAGAAGAAATATCGTTTGAGGGCTCGTTCACGCCAGAGGCAGTTCAGTGCATTTTTTTTTCTGCATTAAAAATACATGCACAGTGATTTCCATGTATTCCAATGGTCCTGGTTCACACCAGTACAACAGTCAGTTCAAGACAGTTTCCGATGCAGAAAAAAAAGTAGAACATTTTTTTTCTGCACAGAACTGTACTGGAACACAGCAAACTGCCACAAAACTGCGCCACAACGGAGTGTGGTGTGAACTATAAGCAAAAACTTAGAAACAGTTCACACCACAAAAACAAACTCTGGCTAAGGGCCAGTTCACACTACATGCGTTTTAATATGCTTTTTTTTTTCTGCATCCAAAATGCACAGAAAGTAGGTTATATTATATTATTTTCATTAGCAAACCATCCCATGACAATGCATCATGTAGTGAACGTTAAGAAAAGAAAATATAGTGAGGATTTTTTACAGTATGGTTTTACCTCAATAATTACAGCAGGAATCGAGAAACCGCATATCAGATATTTACATTACGATTCATAATAGTAGCAAAATTAGTTATGAAGCAGCAATGAAAATAATTTTATGGTTGGGGGTCACCACGACATGAGGAAATGTAATAAAGGGTCGCGGCATTAGACAGGTTGAGAACCAGTGGTCTAGACAATCTGTCAGTTTTTTTTGCTGTTTGTCCCCGTTATTTATTTTATTTATTTCAGGTACTTATATAGTGCCGTCAATTTACGCAGTGCTTTACATATATATTGTACATTCACATCAGTCCCTAACCCTCAAGGGGTGTACAATCTAAGGTCCCTAACTTACATACTCATACTAGGGACAATTTAGACAGGATCCAATTAACCTACCAGCATGTCTTTGGAGTGTGGGAGGAAACCGGAGTGTGGGAGGAAACCGGAGTACCCGGAGGAAACCCACGGAGGCACAGGGAGAACATGCAAACTCCAGACAGGTGGTGCCCTGGTTGGGATTCAAACCAACGACCCTAGTACTGCCAGGTGGAAGTGCTAACCATTTAAGTATAGACAAAAAGGTGCAGCGCTAATAAAAGTGTCAACATTCATTCAGTATATGGAATAGAAAAACAAGAAAGAAGACATAAGGTCATAAGATCAATCATAAAAGTTCGATGTTCAATCCAGTGTCCATGAACATGCAAAAGGGGTACGGTGTGTCAATTCTACCCAGTCTCCTGTGCAGATCAGGGCGAGTGATCCAAATGTGAGCAGGGAATATATTAATTAAATGCGCACTCACCAGAAGTGCGTCAAAAAAAACGCATGTAAGCAGTATCCTCTCTTCAGATGCATCTAGGTTCTCCACACTCTCTGGTGAAGCCGCGTTCCCTAGTTCTCATTGGTCATCCCTCCTGGTCAGATTCCATGGTACATAAGGCACTCATACATCTCTGGAGTCCCTCCTTAACCTTGGTGCTGTGAAAGGGTGGTGCTCATGAAGAGTCCAATAAGGGACATCACATAGCGTGATACTGCATAAACACTTTATTTAAAAAATGACACAGGGTTAAATGAAATGAAGGTACTGACCGCAAAAAGGGGTAAGATGTCCTGGTGCTGTAGCCCCCCCCCCTCTGACGCGTTTCGTGCTATGCACGTTCTCAAAGGGTCAAGGCTTACACAAGTGTTTATGCAGTATCACGCTATGTGATGTCCCTTATTGGGCTCTTCATGAGCACCACCCTTTCACAGCACCAAGGTTAAGGAGGGACTCCAGAGATGTATGAGTGCCTTATGTACCATGGAATCTGACCAGGAGGGATGACCAATGAGAACTAGGGAACGCGGCTTCACCAGAGAGTGTGGAGAACCTAGATGCATCTGAAGAGAGGATACTGCTTACATGCGTTTTTTGACGCACTTCTGGTGAGTGCGCATTTAATTAATATATTCCCTGCTCACATTTGGATCACTCGCCCTGATCTGCACAGGAGACTGGGTAGAATTGACACACCGTACCCCTTTTGCATGTTCATGGACACTGGATTGAACATCGAACTTTTATGATCGATCTTATGACTTATGTCTTCTTTCTTGTTTTTCTATTCCATATACTGAATGAATGTTGACACTTTTATTAGCGCTGCACCTTTTTGTCTATATATTATCTTGGAAGGTTATGTTGGTTGCCTTTTTGGTGTTCTAGCAGCTTTTTATTTTGATTATATCTTTATTACAGTAAGCGCTCGCTATACTACTTGTCTCTAGCCATTTAAGTATGTTTGCATATTAACAGGGAATGGGCAACTATCTGAAGAAATTTACACAGTTTAGTCCAGTTAACCATCTCCCGCCCGCCATATAGTCCAATGACGGACGCAAGGTGGTTCTCTTGTTCTGGGAGGACGTCATATGACATCCTCCCATTCTCACTGCACATACGCGGCTCAGGGAGCACGCAGGGTGGCGATCGGCGGTGCGCTGTGTCCCTCGGACACAGCAAATCACCGATCACGGAAAGAGCCGAAGATGTCAGCTCGGTCATGTGATCAGCTGTGTCCAATCACCGCTAAACACATGTAAACAGGGAAATGCTGATTATCGGCATTTCTCTCCTCTCGGCTTTCCGCGGAAGGGACATGTACACTGGTCATCAGGGCACTGATGATCAGTGTGCCCTGATGATCAGTGTAGCCCCAGCAGTGCCACCTGTCAGTGTCCATCAGTGCCTCGTGCCAGTGCCCATCAGTGCCACATATCAGTGCCTACCAGTGCACATCAATGCCACATATCAGTGCCCATCTGAGCTGCCTTTCAGAGCCGCCTATCAGTACCAGTCAGTGCCACCTATCAGTGCCAGTCAGTGCCACCTATCAGTGCCATATACAGGGCCATGTATCAGTGCTGCCTTTCAGTGCCCATCAGTGATGCCTGTCAATGCCCATCAGTGCCACCTACCAGTGCCTCATCAGTGCAGCCTATCAGTGCCCACCACTGCAGCCTCATTAGCGCATATCAGTGAAGGAAAAAAATCACTTATTTACAAAATTTTTATAACAAAAACTAAGAAAAAACTTTTTTTTACAAAATTTTCAGTTGTTTTTGGTTTGTTTAAGAAAAAATAAAAAAACCCAGAGGTGATTAAATACCACCAAAAGAAAGCTCTATCTGTCACAAAAAATTATAAAAATTTCATATGGGTACAGCGTTGTATGACCGCGCAATTGTCAAAGCGCGACAGCGCTGAAAGCTGCAAATTGGCCTGGGCAGGAAGGGGGTAGAAGTGCCCTGTAGGCTAGCAGTTAAAGGATACATTCACCTTTTGACAAAAAAAATTATAAATGCACATTTTTTTGCAGGTAAAAAAATGTGCATTTATTATTTTTTGCTACAGGAGCCTGTAAAGCATTGCATCAGCAATCAACAGATCGCTAGTGCCATGCAGATCTGTCAGTATATCTGCTTGTCTGTATGGGATATACGAGCAAGCAGATGTACTGACAGGAAAAAAAAAAATCAATGAACTACCACAGTGCTGTGGTAGTTGAGAACTACAAGTCGACAGTCACAAAGGACTTTGTAGCTCATTCATTCACAGAACTCTGTGAATGAATGACACGGACATGTGGGCAGAACTGACAGCTTGGACGGGGAGAAGCTCCCCGTACTGCTGTCACAGGAGGGAAGTAGATTGGGCAGCGGCTGAAGCATTGGGAACACGTTACACCCTAGAAACAGGTGGAACATGTAACATATTCCCAAAGGTGAACGTTTTAAAAATTTAGCTGAATTCCAATATACTTCTTTTGTATATGGTCAGAAGGATATACCCAATATTTTCTAGTATCCAGTCTGCTCCCTGAATGTTAATCATCTTTAAGTAAATACAAAGGAGATTCACCCTATTAATCCTGTTTAATGTTATCATTGAAAGGAAAACCCAAATTTTTAATTGTCCCCAGAAATGTAATATAGGAATATCTTCAAATGGGGACACTAGTTCTGGTGACCTGGGTTCCCCTTAATTTGTAGGGATTTCCTCACTTGCTATGGGACAGGAAGTGAAGGTAAATCTCCCCAATGGGACACAGATATCAAAAAATAAACTAACAGTTATGCCCCTTTCTATTGTTTTAGGGGCGGACTGACAACTCATGGGGTCCGTGTCCTTGCCCACACTCAAAGCACACCCAAAAAAGCCTATAAAAGGTACCAGGAGCATTTCATGGGGCCCCCAACTGACCTCGGGCAGTGCCTGAGTGCTCGAATGGTCAGTCCGCCAGTTCCAAATCAAAGAAAATGTTTTCTATAGTTCTACTCCAAAGTACAAGCACACAGCGAGGCGTCTGGTCGATGTTTTCACACAAGGAAGGCACACCGTAGGCGCACGAATGCACAGTCACCTCTAGCCCTATAGAGCAGCAGGGACCATGTGACCACACGCACAGAAGGCGGGGTCTTGCTACATAGTACACACCCCCCTTTAGGCGGGGAGACGCAGGCGTAGTTAGCTTGGTATCCACGGACGGAAACAGCGGACACTTGTCGTAGTACAGGCCGCGAGCAACATGGCGAAGATCGCAAAAACCCACGAAGGTAGGTGAAGGGGATGCGGAATTATATGGTGACAGGGATCTGTTCTTTGTGTGGAAACTGGCGAGCTTACCGCGACGGTTTCCTATGAGCGGTCCGCCGTGCTCCTGTAATGGCGCAGTAGCTGTGTGTTTGAAGGGGATGGAGGACATATTGGAGGCTGGGGTGGTGCTCGTGTCTTTCCTGTAGTTGGCCCTGTCAGCGTGCGGGGGTGAGGAGAGCTCTGCTGGCCCTCCGGCCTTTGTCTCGACATCGGGCGCCAATCGTTGTGTATGTCCGTCCCACTCCTCACAGAGCACCCCGTGTCCGCAGGGCCCAGCTGTGCTTGTTGTGGTCAGCTCACACGTGTTTTCTGAGATCACATCCAACTGCTGATTACCAGACTTCACACTGAGATCTCCGAGCCGCCATTATTATTCTCCTCTCCTACAATCAGAGACTCCATTGTCTTCTATTAGTTTAGGATAGAGTTCACCTTCTCTCAGGTTTCTGTGACCCCACTGCCTGGATTTAGTCCTACTTCCTGTCTGAAATGTTCCCTCGTGTTGTGTCTGAGGTAAAGTCAGGGAGAAAACCTGTACAGAGAATATCCAAGAAAATGTAGTCTGGATTTACTAAAGCCAAATAGATTGCACTTTGGAAGTGCCGTTGCACTTATTTTCCCCAGAGCTTAGACCCCATCACATCTTGCACTTTGGGATCCATGGCAGTCGCAGCACGATATGTTGCCTACTTGTGGGCGCCCTTATCCATTTTATGGCACCCCAAACGCGATGTTATTCTGCCGCAATTGTCACACGGCAAACTGCGCCTTTACAAAACACATGGAGCTTGTCATCCAGAAAAGAGCAGGCACTTCTTTTCAGGCAACAAACATGCATAGGACAGTCCATTCATGGGAATGGGTTGCCGTATACGACGCCAAAATTTGTTTCAAAATCACATAGCGGGAACTCTCTCCCCACTATGCAATAATGTGAATGTGGGGGAAGTGTCGCTTTTGAAAGGAATAGAGTTTGCATGTTCTCTCCCTGTGCCTGTGCGGGTTTCCATCGGGTACTCCGGTTTCCTTCTACACGCCAAAGACATGCTGGTAGGTTAATTGGATCCTGTCTAAATTGTCCCTAGTATGTGTGAATGTAAGATAGGGACTTTAGATTGTAGGCTCCTTGAGGGTTAGGGACTGATGTGAATGTGCAATATATGTTTGTAAAGCGCTGTGTAAATTGAAGGTGCTATATAAGTACCTGAAATAAATATATTCCGTTTATAAAAGGGGAAAAAAAAAATGTTTTTCCTTGTATGTGATTGGATGATGGCAATAGCAGAGCTTTATGTCATTCACTAAGCTCTGGGACAATTAAGTGCATCTGCCCCTCCAAAGTCTTCAGCCTGTTCACCTTTTGTAAATCCAGCCCAGTGTGTGTTTCTGACTTGAGTCTCAGCGTTTTGTTTTAGCCAATGGGAAGCTAGTTTCTAGGAATCGATGGTTGTTGGCGCTCATTCACACCTGAGCTGAGCGCTTTAGGTCTTTTTTTTTTTTTTTTTTGCCACCAAATTTTGCATGTGTATGGAACCACAGGAGTTTTTGTTTTGGTGAAGAATAGCTTTTCAGGTGCAAACAAATGTACATAAATCTTTACCTTGCACATTTAGTTCACACTATTGCAGTGTGGAAAACTGTTTGGGATTCAGACAAAAATCATACTGCATTCCTGTTTACATCACATTCAATTCTCTGCAGTGCAGTTTGAGCCATTCCTTTGGTATTGGTCAAATCGCAGTGCACCCGCACAAAAGGTGCAGGCACTACCCCCCCCCCCCCCCCCACACAAGCTGGAATCAGATGGCATGGGTCATGCGATCCAGTTCAGCCAAACACACTGTATTTTGCAAAACCTTTTTGGGGTGTCGTTAACAGACACCCTCAGCAGTTCACATAAATGGAGTGTGAGTGTGATAGTGGTAGTAAAGCCACATTGTTTACTTGTACCTACAGGAAAGCCTAAAATAATGCATGGATATTTTCTACTTAGTTGCATTGCTCCAGCGTAACTATGCATATAGAATACCTTGCATTTTGGTGTCCTGTACTTGGCTAGACTGCCAAAAGTCTCTCACATGTGGTACCCCATACTCGGGTGACAACTATGTGTAGAAAAAAAATAAGAATAAATTACAAGAAAATAAAACTTTTTTTTTTGTCATTTTTCAAAAATATCTGGTAAAAAAAAAGAAGCTTATGCCACACATCACTTTCTCTTCTAACCCCCTGAAGACCAAGGCTAATTGTTTGGTAAAATAAAAAAGATGATGGTATGCTGAGTAAATAGATACCAAACATGACAAACATGCTTTAAAACTGCACTTGCCCTGTGCAACGGCGACAAACTACATACATTTTTAATATCCATAGATGACGTTTTAAAAGCCTTTACAGGCTACCATTTTAGATTTACACAGGAGGTCTAATGCTAGAATTGCTGCTCGATCTGACGTTCATGGCGATACCTCTCATACATGGTGCAACCGCTATTTACATACCGACACGGGGCAAATGCTTGCGTTCGCCATTGCGCCCACGCGTGAGGGGATAAGGGTGCTTTTATTTTTTAAAAATAATTTTTACACTTCCTGTGTGGGTTTTCCTCCAGGTACTCCGGTTTCCTTTCACGGAATGGCATCAGGAAAATGCCTGTCATGCCGGCTCACTGTATCTGGGTTGGGGGTTTGGGCCACAGGACCTTCTGGATACAAAAGAGCTGTGATGATCTCTTCCTGCAATTTTAGGAAGGATCCACTTTTTACAGTTGCTTTGCGAAGCAGAAACGCATTGTACAGAGCCATTTGAAATAAACATAAAGACACTTTTTTTTTTTTTTGTACCAGCGTCTGGCTTTATGGGAAGCTAAGTACGACTTCATCATCTGGTTCTAAAAGTCCACCCCTCCCATGTTAAGGTTATAGTCGTGGACAAAGAAGGCCTTCTCAACAACACCAGCTGCCAAGGAAATTTGGATGGTTATGTCTGCGTGAATGGAAGAAAGGACGATAACATCCCGTTTGTCCTTCCACTTCATTGCTAGCAATTCATAATTTCTCAAGCAGGCTTTCTCCCCCTTACTAAGACTGGTATTTACAAGCCGTTGCAGGAAGCCCCAACAATTAGGTCGCACAGTGCCACGTGCGCCAGTTCCAAGATTGTATAAATGTGGAAATAGTGGCATGCTTGTATAAAAATTGTTCACGTATAAGTGGTCAAAAGGGTGACATCAAGTCCCAAACTAAGGGAAAGTCTAGAAGCATAAGGGAAAAAGGGTGATCCCAAACTATCTTGCCACTGCTCCCAATGTAGTCTGGGCATCCGGGGTGCTCTTTT